CGTACGCCACTATGCCTGGCAAACTTTTGTAATTTTTGGAGAGAAATTTTGTAGGCTATGTACTCCATGCCGTGTAGGTACTGGGGTGTCGCAATATAAAATGATAGTATTATGTCTGCCCTAGAAGTATGGCCCGGTCAGCGTAGCTCCATCATAACAAAAATCCATAGACTCAGGATATCGTTATCTCTGTTGTTTTCCAGAGAGCGGTATAATGCAGTGCTTTTTCTTTCCTGATCAGTTTGTTTGGTAGGAGAGAACTGTTTTTCCCTTTTCTCCTGGCAAATGCCAGTAACTGTCTTACAGATAGCCTTATCTCCAGCCAAGATTCTGTTTTGTATGCAAGCAATGGTTTTTCTCTTGATTACAATAAGATGTTTGATGCAACTCACGTTTTTGCATATTAACCTACTGATAAATGAGTGAAATGTTTGTTTTCAGTATTAGGAGCAGTCTTTGACTTAAGGTGCTCTTCTTTTTCACCTCTTTCTTTGAAATTCCTCTAAGATGATGAACATCTGTCTCTTACTGCTTGTCTAATGTCTAAATCTAATCAAAGATTCTTTATGAAGAATTTGAACTATGTGAGTGTGTGGAATAAGAGCAGTATCTTGCTGTGTCCTTTCCAGAAAAATCCTCAGATCATGTATCTGGAACAGGAGTTAGAAAGCCTGAAAGCTGTGTTGGAGATCAAGAATGAGAAACTGCACCAACAGGACATCAAGTTAATGAAAATGGAGAAACTGGTATGTTTCCTTCAGAATGAATGAGGATCTTACAAATCGGGTAATATCTGTGAAATTGAGCCCTGCATTTTAGAATTATGGAGTTAACTGCTCCTGACGATATTTAGAAATTAGACGAAAGATAAAGTTTACATTTTCTTTGCCAAGTTTGTTCAATATTTATTCATGGCTGCCTCCTAGAATGTTTTCTTTTTCAAGGAACATGTAAAACAGCACCCAGTCCTTGGAAAAACTACAACAAACAAATCAGGCTTATATTTCAGTGCTATGTTGAATCTTCACCTGCTTAAGAAAAGTGTTTAAATATCTATGTAAAATCAGTACGTTAATATACCACCCACCCTGGACAGGTTTCTTAGGTCCAAAGCAGTTGGATATGTTTAATAGAAATCAATCCCAGTGAAGCAATACGATCAAAATTCTTCATCTTGCTTCTTGTGAATTAGCATGTGATCAAAGAATTATGGGCTGGGTGCAGTGGCTCATTCCTGTAATCCCGCAGTTTAGGGAGGTTGAGGTGGGCGGGTCACTTGAGGTCAGGAGTTTGAGACCAGCCTGGCCAACATGGTGAAACCCTGTCTCTACTAAAAATATAAAAATTAGCAGGGTGTGGTGGTGGGTGCCTGTAATCCCAGCTACTGGGGAGGTGGCGGTTGCACTGAGGTGAGGTGGCGCCACTGCATTCCAGCCTGGGTGACATAGCAAGACTCAGTCTAAAAAAAAAAAAAATTGTGCTATAATGATTAATCCATTTGAACAAGTAGCAAGTGTTACCAAAATTATGAATAACATTCAGTTTGCAGTCTCTAGGACAGAGAATGATGTTAGTGTATGAGGAGTCTGCCCAGAACCGTGTGTTCAGCATCAGTCTTGGTCCGGCCCTGAAACACAACTGCTGCCAGCCAGGACTCTAACCAAGCTGGCAGAGCTTGGCAAGGCAGCTGAAGTGATCCCAGCCCTCGCGGTGCCTTGCTGTTGACCGTGCAGCTGCCGCGTGCTGCTGGCCTCTTCTCCCCACATGATGAGTGACTCAGGCTTCAAGTGCCTCATTCAAACCCAAACCAGCCCTGGACAGTAGGGGGCACGGGGAACCTCTCTACTGTTTGGTTTGTGTTGGTTTGGGGTTTGGTTTTCTCCTAGAGACTATGATTTCTGTTGAGGGAGGTAACAGCCAAGCCCCTGTGTGGATATACAAGGACTTTGAATTACCAGGACATTTTTGTAAAGGAAGGAAAGGAACTCATGGTTGTTAATGGGCCCAACCTAGTATACATACCAGTTCCTGCCAAAGGTCGTCCTGTTCCAGCGAGTCTGGTATCTTCTAAATGGTAGTCAGAGGTGACTCAGATAATCCTGTTAATAGTCGCTCCATATGCCATTCATGCCTCAAAACTTTCAAAAAATCATGTGCAATAGAACAGACTATGCTGTAAACTTAACGACACATTTAATTTGTGTTGATCTAGTATTTGTTTCTTGCCGTGCCCCAGAGGTATCCTGATAATCTCTGTCAGCCTTGGATTGTGGATGTGTGGAAGAATGGGTTGACACAATGACAGGGAAACCCAGCGTTCCCTTCATATTTGTAAATGACAGGCCTCTGATGAAATGAGAGCAGCACAGGAAGTTTTCTAAGATGACTTTCCCATGAAACTAGCACTGCCCATCATCAGCTCAGTGACGTGATCAGGACTGGTTTCCCTAGGATGAGATAATAAAGGACAATACCTCCCAGTCTCGAATTCCAGGGTTTTTCCCACGTTGTTTTATCTGGGATTCCTTCATGATTACTCAATGTTTAGGCTCATTTTCTGGAAAGTCATTTCACCCGAACGGCTTGTGGTGCGCTGCTTCTGGATAATAGGCTGTCTTAAGAACAACCGGGCTCGAAACTAAGCACCACACTCAAAGTGCGTTAGTCCTGCTACAAGGACGAGGGGCTTAGACTTAATTCTGACGGACCTATAATATCGCCTCTTCTTAAAACCTTACCTTTAGAAAGTGAGTGGGGGATGGAGGCAGGTCTTCATCATGTTAAGTGATTCAGTGTCCTCAGGCATCTTATCCTTTCATCTCTCAGCTGATCAATCTGTTTGCCTTGAAAGTTCAGCCTGCACAAGCCAGCAGGAGAACAGACCTATCTTCAGCTGACCTGACCTGTTACTTCTTTGATGGGATGCTCTAAGAGCTCTGTCCAATTACAGCTTTGTGTGGCCACTCAGAGGCAAATGCTGAAGAATTACCATGAAACTGAGTTCAAGTCCATAGTAAATATTGCCAGGGACTGTGAATTGTTGGCCTATGAGTTTTCATCAGACGTGGGAATCGCTTTTTTTTTCTTTCTGCAAAATTCACTTCGTAAGAAGATATATAAGCTTTGATAAGTGTGGGCAGTGTGGCTGCAAGGTTTGTTTCACATTGAAACAGAAAGAGGCACCAATTCTTAGAGAATTCCAAAACAATGTGGCCTGGAACAAATCTGTCCCCCACTTGTATCAATATTGAAGTGGCCTGGCATACATGTTTTAAAAAGACCCAGCTGCTCCGTTGTGCTGTTTTAAAATCTTTTTCAGTATGTTAGTGTATAAATATTTTAATATGGTGTTGCATTTTCCTTAATTAAATCTGCAAAGTGTGCTTATGTCATAAAGTGCCTTAAGAAATGAGGTGTTTTTTTAATATTGTATAAATGTGGGAATTCTTGTTTGTGCCAAGGTGGACAACAACACAGCATTGGTTGACAAATTGAAGCGATTCCAGCAGGAGAATGAAGAATTAAAAGCTCGGATGGACAAGCACATGGAAATTTCAAGGTAAAAAGAAAACAATGCCGTTTCTCCTGAGCTCCCCTCTCCCTTGCACATCCAGTGTACTTTCTGGACACGCTCTACCCCTGCACCTCCTGGAAATAGGATGGAAGCAGATGGTTGAAGGGGCATTGATTTGTCTCTGGAAAATGTGATGGTAATGGTTCATGCTTTTACCAAAGCGGCCTGGACTATACACTGAGACCCAGGCCAGCAAGCCTGCTCCCACAGCCTCTGGCTGCCTCTGAGAATGCTTTCAGACAAAAAGCAATACAAAACCAAATAGAAAACAGCCCCCAGCATAAGACAGTCATAAAACATGTTGAATATTTGCAAAAGTGGCACTCAGCCTACTATGAAATTGCCCAAAAAGTAGAGTTATTACATTTTTTTGAGATGAGGTCTCACTCTGTTGCCCAGGCTGCAGTACAGTGGTGGGAACTTAGCTTCCTGTAGCCTCCACCTCCTGGGCTCAAGCAATCCTCCCACCTCAGCCTCCTGAGTAGCTGGGACTACAGGCACATGTCACCATGCTTGGCTAATTTTTGTATTTTTAATAGAGACAGAATTTTGCCATGTTGCCCAAGTTGGTCTCGAACTCCTGGCCTCAAGTTATCCACCCACCTTGGCCTCCCAAGGTGCCAGGATCACAGGCATGAGCCACCAAGTCCGGCCTGTATTTGTGTTTCTTAGCCAGCCAAATACCTGTGACCTTGTGCAGGATTCTGTTTTATCCCAAAGGAATAATTTTGGACTTCAAAATTTCAAATGCTAAGAAAAGTTTTTCAAGTTATTTTTTTACATAGACGTACATGGTTTCTGGCTTTTTTTCCTCCAAGGCAACTTTCCACGGAGCAGGCTGTTCTGCAAGAGTCTCTAGAGAAGGAGTCGAAAGTCAACAAGCGACTCTCCATGGAAAACGAGGAGCTTCTGTGGAAGCTGCACAATGGGGACCTGTGTAGCCCCAAGAGATCCCCCACGTCCTCTGCCATCCCTTTCCAGTCACCAAGGAATTCTGGCTCTTTCCCCAGCCCCAGCATTTCACCCAGATGATGCCTCCCCAAAGTCCACAGACTCTCTGAAAGCATTTTGATACAGGTCTGCAGGACTGACCCCATTGAGGAATGTGGGCACAGAGGTTTATCAGCACACGTGTGATCACCGTAGGATAACTGGAGCGTCATCGCCGCCGGAATCAGCAGCTTCTGAGACTGGAACTCTGGAGGAGGACTTTTGCCTCCATCCAAAAGATTCCTCCAAAAAAAGATTTCGGCATCGACACAGACGTTGTTGCACAAAGCACTTAAAGAACGAGAGCATCTTGTTCATTGCCTTTTTCACCTAAGCATAGGGGGAAAAACTCTCAGGGGCCTATTAAAATAAAGATTTATAACCTTTGTAATGTTCTTCACCACAGACACCTTCTTGTGAGTTTTTAGTCTGACTGTGGGGGTGGGGGGGTGTGAATGAAATGGATGTCACAGTGTCATGTGTCTGATGCAGCCTCCTTTGCTGTGTATTAAATGTCAAAATCTGAATATATCTGGATATGTACTAATCAAATAATCAGCATATACATTTCAGCCAAAGCCATAGAAGAAACAGCAATCGTTGCTTGAATTATGATCATCTACCACCAACTCTGCTCAGCGCTGTAACAGGGTAGGGAGAGGGTGTGACAGGGAAAGCTCTGACTTGTCCCTGTCTATACATTCTCTGTATCTTTTGGGGGTAACTTCTTGGCAGTTTTTCAGTGTTCAGCCATGTCAGTTGAAACTAGATTTTTCTGTAGATTTTTTACTTACCCATGTGAGCCTAACACTATCCTGTTATTCGTTTTCTCAGGCTATGTGTAAATGTAGAATCCTAATTTTTCTATTAAAAACTGTAAAAAGAAAAAGGGCAGTACCAATGGGTTTTTCCGCCTTATTTTTACCTTGATCTATCCTTGCAGATTTAACCTGTCTTCTTCTCTCCCATTATTTTCATTTTCCTTTTTACCTTTCTCCACCATCCAGAGCCACAAAAGCAAACCTTCTACCTCCTACGTACGTTTCTCTGGGATAAGGATAAAGGAATATGATTTTCCAGAGCCCCAGAGCCAGCTCATCTTCCAGGTGCTGAAACCACTTTCCAAATAAACTAAAGCCTGGATTTGATACTACAGATTTTGGGAAATGTTAGAATAAAGAATGAGAAAAAGGAAGTCATTGGGCTAGTATAATTAAGAAAGGTAGGATTCAGTGCTTACTGATGATGCAGTATTTGATAGAAGAAAACAGTCTGGGAGGATCACACTCATTTTTCAGGTACCCTTTGAGGAGTCCCTCTGTCTTTAGTAGCAGAATGGCCCGCTGACGAGCGGAAAATGTGGCTTGTCCAACTCTCCTCCAAGTTGCATTTCAGTTTCTTTGCAAAACTTATTACCTCCCCTAATCCTGAGACTTTGGAAAAGGTGGAAGGAAGAACTGTTGCTTTATCTCCCACTGCCTGCATGTGTCAACATTGTGATGTCAGTATTTACTAATCAACCTTCAGTGGCTGTACAAATAACCGCTGTAGGAAGAAGAGATCCAGGATACTAGAGGTGGATATTTGGGTCATTTACTTGTACACTACATAGCAAGTTGATACTCACGTTGCATGTTCTTTTAAATTAGTGACTGTGTGTCTTAAGTCTTTAACTTCCAATAGTTTATCATATATGTAACCTTCCATGTTTGCTTCTGATAAATGGAAATGTAGAGTCACTGCCACTTCCTGGGATATTTCTGCTTACGCTTCCAAGTTCTCAATGACATTAGCCAAAGTTGGGTTTGCCATTCATCCCCTACACATGGCAAATCTTGTGTTATTCCCTGCCATCCTCCGTATTATGTGACTGGGAAATAAATCTCATAGCAGTTAATATAAGACGTCTTCCGAGGATGGCAGAGAACAGGAGAGAAGATAGGAAACAAAATAGAGAATTTTTAAGATTTTGTTTAAACCAAATGTTTCATGTAGAATGCAAAATGTTGGCACGTCAAAAATATGGATGTGTAGACAACTGTAGTTGTGCTCAGTTTGTAGTGATGGAAAGTGTATTTTACTTTGATCAAATAAATAATGCTGGAATACTCAAGAATTGCATCCTCTGACCTACTTCATTCTTCAAATTCTTCAGTTTTACATTCTTCAAATTTATAGCCCTTTGACAGCACAGTAAAGATTGTATCTCCTCTTAGTTTATTTCCCAGGAATTTCCACTGCAACCACATAGTTGGTCATGGGTTGAAACTTGGCTCACAGAGCTAGAGTTAGGGCTAAGCTCTTCTTTTCTAAATTCAAAGCTATCTGTGTGTGTTTGAGAAATAAATTTTGGCTGATTTTAACAATTTCTGCTATGTAAGAAAATTGGACAAACTTGGTAAATATTTTTGAATATGGTAAAAAAAAAAAAAGTCTAAAAGTTGAATGTTCTCAACCTATGCATCTATTTCATATTGAAAGCTAAACTTCTAAAAACATGCTGTACTTATTGAATAGACTAATCTAGAATTAGTACCCTCGAGTGCAGCAGTTTAAAAAGATGAAGCATACATGATTTTTTTCAGTACCTTCATAAATTAACTCACGTTTGCTTTAAAGTTGCTACTAAGACAAAATGACATTTCTAAGCATTTGAATCTGGAGTTGTTGCTTGTGGATAAGTAGTTGAACTGTATCTAGAACATTTTAAAATTCTAATACATTGTGGTAATGATAAAAAGAGAATACTTGGTACTGACCCACGTATCACCACCACCAAGTCTTTTTGGATATACTTTAAGCCAACTTAACAAACACTTATCCCACTTTGTATTCTTTACAAAAACGTGTTCATTTAATAGAAATGAGTATATAAAATTGTTTACACATGTATAAAAACTAGGAACACGTATGTAGGTAAGCAATCAAAATACATGCTTTCTGTTAGAAAAGTTAACACTTCTGTGACTAGACTGGATGACTTCCTTTTAGTTTGGATGTCAGGGTCGGACTCACAAGATGCTGGGGTTGGGGTTTGCTGCTTGACATCAGCCTCTGGCAAAGCACTAATAAAAAGAACCCCAAAGCTGACTGTGTACACAAATGGGCTTTCCATAAGTTCCTTAGGCTTCCTTTTCCAAGTCAGGAAAACTCAACAGTGGTAGCTACTGTGGTCTGTCCTTGAAGATTCTGAGCAGTGCAAATGTAATATCCTGCATCAGTGGTCTCAAAGTCTTCCACTGTAATGACGCTCTGGGAGAGTCTCGTGGTGTGTCCCAGTCCTCTGTGGATCAGCCTCCAAGTGTCTTGGATCGTCACAGGCCTTTCATCCTGTTTAACGACAGCCACACAGACTGAAGCACGAGCTACAATCTGCTATAAACAGCTCCCACTCGCCCAACACTGTTGAGTGTTCCTTTCAAAGAGCAAAGCACATGCTTATAAAAGACTTTAGTATGCATAGCTCATAAGCTGTGGAAGCTTCTACACTGGCATCATTTTAGGCTGCATTTTTTCCAAACAGAGCCTTGAATTTCATTACGCTGTTTGGCGCTGTCTTTCTGCCCTTTTCTTCTGTAAGTTTTTACTTAATCGGAAATGTATGCTTTTAGAACTCCAAGAAAGTGGAACTGGCATTAAGCACAAGCAAGGACAAAATTTTCCACTGGCCTCGTTCTTCACATTGCCCATTTTCTTTTCCTAAGTGGTTCTTATCTACAGAATAGAAAGTCAGTAGCCTGAAAACGCACCCACTGTATAAATGACTAGGAGCTCCCAATTGCTCAGATTTGGGAGAGGGAGAACTATGATTAGGTCAATGTGCCTTAGGACTCCAGTGGGAGAAAAGTTGTACCAAGGATGGGTAAGATAATGTAGTAGATGACATGACCCCTATTTCTAGAAAGTGAGATGGTCACTTTTGAGACGTTCAGCCAACTCTGGTGATAAGAACATGGTATTACTCAGTGAATACCTTTTCTCATAAAATACCAAATAGCAATGTAGGAGCGGGGGAAAAAAACAAAAACCAGAAAAAACACCTCTACTGAAAATCATCTATGTCCTGTAAGTATGACCAACACTTTTGATAAGTACCTGGTACCAGGAAGCTGGAAAACACTATTCCCAGGGACAGTTATTTTCTACCCATCACAACCCGTAGGCCAGAAGGATGTCAGCTACTGAATGTGTCTTGTAGAGGCCAAATCTCTTCTGGCAACAAAGGGATTATTCCGTGCTGGTAGCAGAGCTGTTATTTTAGCAAGCAAAACATGCACAAGGGCTAAATATGCTGCAATTACTTTTATGAGAAGTCTACTTTAAAATTATCTCTGGCCTCACAGCACCTTTTCGGCACGGTCTATTTCTATGCTCACTTGGGGGATGTCTGCTTACAGCGGCTTGCCATAGGCACAGCTTGTACAGAGAACACTCGAGCCAAGTGAAACACAGCGGTAGAAAGCAGCAGCAGGAAGAGCCCTGTGGGCTGTCTCAGTCCCCAGCATTTCTGACTTTGTCTCACAGAGGTCCTTGAAGAGGGCTACCAGAGAAACTGGCTACCAGAGAAACTGGGAAGAGACCACAGTGAGAAGGAAACTTCTAGCTGAACTTTCTAACAATTTTGACCAAACACAAAGTTTCCTGGACAGAACTCGGGTGAGGGACTAAAGCAGTTGTGCAGACATAGCACAAACTGTGGCAGGTAGCAGGTGTGAAACCTGAAGGCCCTGTTTCCTTTCTTAGCCGGGAGGCTGGTAGCCTGGGGCAAGTTCTCAACCCTGCTCCTCCACTGCCTAGAAACAAACTCTGTGCTGTTGGCAGAGACAGACGGAGTGAGACCAGCCCTTTGGGCTACATGGGAGCTGGGTGAGGCCTGTAACTGCTGGCTTTGTCCCACTTCCCTGGCGACCTGCACGACAGAGCAGAGCAGCCCTAATCCCCTGGGGAACATAAGTCCATTGGCCTGAGAACCACACCCCCATTCCCAACATCAGCTATAGCAAGACCCACCCAAGGAGAGTGTCTGAGCTCAGACACGCCTACCCCGCCGCCACCTAATGGTCTTTTTCTACCCACCCTGGTAGCCGAAGACAAAGGACATAATCTCTTGGAAGCTCTAGGGTCCTGCCCACCACTGATCCTCCCTATACTACTGCAGCTTATGCTCTCTTAAAAGTGCTGCCTCCTGGCCGGAGACCAACCAACACAAAACTAGTGCAATAAACAAAACTACAACTAAGGACCCTCACAGAGTTCATCCATTTCACTTCCCTGCCACCTCCATCAGAGCAGGTGCTGGTATCCATGGCTGAGAGACCTGAGACATCATAGGACTCTGTGCAGGCACTACCCAGTACCAGCCCAGAGCCCAGTAACTCTGCTGGGTGACTAGATACAGAAGAGAAATAACAATTACTGCAGTTTGGCTCTCAGGAAGCCACACATATAGGGCAACGGGGAGAGCACTACATCAAGAGAGCACCCCATGGGCAGCAGCCCTTGGGCCCCAGGTCTTTCCTCTACCATAGTCTACCAAATGAGAAGCAACCAGTAAAACAATTCTGGTAATATTTCAAAACAAGTTTCTTTAACACCCCAGAAGATCACACTAGCTCACCAGCAATTGATCCAAACCAAAAAGAAATCCCTGAATTGCCAGAAAAAGAATTCAGAAGGTCAGTTACTAAGCTAGTCAAGGAGGCATCAGAGAAAGGTGAACTCCAATTTAATTAAATCAAAAAAAGACACAGGGTATGAAGGGAAAAATCTTCAGTGAAATAGATAGCAAAAACAGAAATTTCTGGAAATGAAGGACACACTTAGAGAAATGCAAAATACACTGGAAAGTCTCAGCAATAGAAGTGAACAAGCAGAAGAAAGAATTTCAGAACTCGAACATCAGATTTTTGAATTAACCCAATCAAACAAAGACAAAGAAAAAAGAATTTAAAAGAATGAACAAAGCCTCCAAGAAGCTTGGGATTATATTAAACAACCAAACCTAAGAATAATTGGTGTTCCTGAAGAAGAGAAATCTAAAAGTTTGGAAGACATATTTGAGGGAATAAACAAAGAAAACTTCCCTAGCCTTGCTAGAGAGCTAGACATCTGAATACAAGAAGCTCAAAGAACACCTGGGAAATTCACCACAGAAAGATCATCCTAGGCACATAGTCATCAGGTTATCAAAAGTCAAGACAAAGGAAAGAATCTTAAGAGCTGTAAGGCAAAAGCACCAGGTAACCTATAAAGGAAAACATACCAGATTAACAGCAGATTCCTCAGCAGAAACCCTACAAGCTAGAAGAAATTGAGGCCCTACCTTCAGCCTCCTTAAACAAAAGAATTATCAGCCAAGAATTTTGTGTCCAGTGAAACTAAGGTTCATAAATCAAGGAGAGATATAGTCTTTTTCAGACAAACAAATGCTGAGAGAATTCACCACTACCAACCTGGCACTACAGGAACTGCTAAAAGGAGCTCTAAATATTGAAACAAACCCTTGAAATACACCAAAAGAGAACCTCCTTAAAGCATAAATCTCACAGGACCTATAAAACAAAAGCACAATTAAAAAAAAAAAAAAAAGCGTATTCAGGCAACAAATAGCACAATGAATACAATAGTACCTCACATCTCAATACTAATGTTGAATGTAAATGACCTAAATGCTCCACTTAAAAGATAGAGAATGGCAGAATGGGTAAGAAGTCACCAGCCAAGTATCTGCTGTTCTGAAGAGACTCACCTAACAAATAGGACTCATATAAATCTATCGTAAAGGGGTGGAAAAAGGTATTCCATGAAAAGGGACACCAAAGTAAGCAGAAGTAGTTATTCTTTTTGTTTGTTTTGTCTTTTTGAGACAGAGTCTCACTCTGTTGCCCAGGCTGGAGTGCAACGGTGCAATCTTGGCTCACTGCAACCTCCACCTCCCAGGTTCAAGCGATTCTTGTGCCTCAGCCTCCTGAGCAGCTGGGATTACAGGTGAAGGCCTGTCTTATAGAGGAGTAGCTGTTCTTATATCAGACAGAACAAACTTTAAAGAAACAGAAGTTTAAAAAGACAAAGAGGGACATTATGTAGTGATAAAAGGACTTGTCCAACAGGAAAATATCACAATCATATATATATACACACACACACACATATACACACATGTACATATATATGTGTACAGATGGATTCACAAATGAATTCTATCAGACATTCAAAGAACTGGTATCAATTCTATCAACACTATTTCACAAGATAGAGAAAGAAGGAATCCTCCCTAAATCATTCTGTGAAGCCAGTATCACCCTAATACCAAAACCAGGAAAGGACATAACAAAAAAGAGAAAACTATAGACCAACATGTTTGATGAATATAGATGCAAAAATCCATAACAAAATACTAGCTAACCAAATCCAACAGCATATCAAAAAGATAGTCCACCATGATCAAATGGGTTTCATACTAGAGTGGTTTAACATACACAAGTCATTAATGTGATACACCACAGAGAATTAAAAACAAAAAATCACATGATCATCTCAACAGACATGGAAAAAGCACTTGACAAAATCCAGCATCCCTTTATGATTAAACCCTCAGCAAAATCGGCATAGAAGGGACATACCTTAAGGTAATGAAAACCATCTATACTGAATGGAAAAAACTTGAAAGCATTTCCCCTGAGAACTGCAGCAAGACAAGGATGCCCACTTTTATTTAACATAGTACTGGAAGTCCTAGCCAGAGCAATCAGACAAGAAAAAGAAATAAAGGCATCCAAATCGATAAAGAGGAGTCAAACTGTCACTGTTTGCTGATGATATAATCATATACCTAGAAAACCCTAAGGACTCCTCCAAAAAGCTGCTAGAACTGATAAATGAATTTAGCAAAGTTTCAGGATACAAAATTAATGTAAACAAATCAGTAGCTCTGCTATCCACCAACAACGACCAAGCTTAGAATCAAATCAATAACTCAACCCCTTCTATAATAGCTGCAAAAAAACAAAAAACAACTCAGGAATACACCTAACCAAGGAGGTGAAAGACCTCTACAAGGAAAACTACAAAACACTGCTGAAAGAAATCATGGATGACACAAGTGGAAACACATCGCATGCCATGGATGGGTAGAATCAATATTGTGAAAATGACCATACTGCCAAAAGCAATCTACAAATTTAATGCAATTCCCACCAAAATACCACCGCCATTCTTCACTGAACTAGAAAAAACAATAAAATTATTTTTTATTTTATATTTTATCCTAAAATTCATACGGAACCAAAAAAGAGTCCGCATAGCCAAAACAAGACTAAGCGAAAAGAATAAATCTAGAAGCATCACATTACCTGACTTCAAACCATAAGGCCATAGTCACCCAAACAGCATGGTACTGGTATAAAAATAGCACACAGACCAGTGGAACAGAATAGAGAACCCAAAAATAAACCCAAATACTTACAATTGATCTCTGACAAAGCAAACGAAAACATAAAATGGGGAAAGGACACCCTATTCAACAAATGCTGCTGGGATAATTGGCAAGCCAAATGTAGATGAATAAAACTGAATCCTTATCTTTCACCTTATACACAAATCAACTCAAGATGGATCAAATACTTAAATCTAAGACCTGAAACCATAAAAATTCTAGAAGATAGCATTGGAAAAACCTTTCTAGACATTAGCTTACGCAAAGAGTTCATGACCAAGAACCAAAAAGCAAATGCAACAAAACCAAAGACAGATGGGGCTTAATTAAACTAAAAAGCTTCTGCACAGCAAAAGAAATAATCAGCAGGATAAACAGACAACCCATAGAGTGGGATAAAATTTTTGCACTCTATACATCTGACAAAGGACTAACACCCAGAATCTACAAGGAACTCAAACAAACCAGCAAGAAAATAATAATCCCATCAAAAATTGGGCTAAGGACATAAATAGACAATTCTCAAAAGATATACCAAAGTCCAACAAACATATGAAAAACTGCTCAAGATCACTAATGATTAAGGAAATGCAAATCAAAACTACAATGTGATACCACCTTACTCCTGCAAGAATGGCCATAATTTAAAAATAAAAAAACAGCAGATGTTGGCATGGATGTGGTGAAAAGGGAACACTCTTACACTGCTGGTGGGAATGTAAACTGGTACAACCACTATGGAAAACTGTGGAGATTCCTTAAAGAACTATTTGATCCAGCAATCTCATTACTGGGTACCTACCCAGAGGAAAAGAAGTCATTATATGAAAAAGTCACTTGTACACACGTTTATAGCAGTACAATTCACAAGTGCAAAAAATGGAACCAGCTCAAATGCCCATCAATGAATGAGTGGATAAAGAAAATGTAGTATATATACCATGGAATACTACTGTGCCATAAAAAGGAATGAAATAATGGCATTTGCAGCAACCTGGATGGAATTGGAGACCATCATTCTATTTTAAGTAACTCACAAATGGAAAACCAAATATGGTATGTCCTCACTGTTAAATGTGAGCTAAGCTATGAGGATGCAAAGACATAAGAATGACACAATTAACTTTGGGGACTTGGGGGAAAGGGTGGGAAGGAGGGTGAGAAATAAAAGCCCATACATTGGGTATAGTGTACACTGCTCAGGTGATGGATACACCAAAATCTCAGAAATCATCTAAAGAACTTATTCATGTAACCCAACACCTACTGTTCTCAAAAACCTACTGAAATAAAAACATGACAAAACATATTAAAAGCAAAGAGAACACTCTGAAGGAACCCAGGAGGAGGTTAGATTCTAGTTGACCCAGAAGATGGGACTGAAGATTGAGGTGGGGGCAGGAGAAAAGAGTGAGATCCTTCATTTCCCCTTCCTCCCAGTGTCCTTTTATTTTTTAAAAAACTTTTATTTAGGTTCAGGGGTATATGTACAAGTTTGTTATAGAGGTAAACTCATGTCATGAAATGAAAGATCATTTTCTCACCCAGGTATTAATATTCAGCCTAGTATCCCTTAGTTATTTTACCTGATCCTCTCTCTCCTCCCACCCTTTACCCCCAGGTAGGCCCCAGTGTGTGTTGTTCCCTTCTTGTCCATGTATTCTCGTCATTTAGCTCCCACTTATAAGTGAGAACATGAAGTATTTGTTTTTCTGTCTCTGTGTTAGTTTGCTAAGGATAATGGCCTCCAGCTCCATTCGTGTTCCTGCAAAGGACACGATCTCATTCTTTTTCATGGCTGCATAGTATTCTGTGGTGTATATGTACTACGTTTTCTTTATCCAGTGTACCACTGAAGGGCATTTAGGTTGATTCCATGTCTTTGGTATTGTGAACGGCACTGCAATGAGCATTACTGTCCCTTCTTAGTTAAGGGTTTTAAAAAAAAAAACCCTGCATATGAAGAGGGTACACTGAGCAAATTGACTAATGAAACTCAAATCTCTCATTTCCTGTCCTTAAAAAAAACATTTTAAAATATACTGAAATATCTTCAAAGAAAACAAGCAAGCCTTGGCCCCCAACAAAGTCCCACATGTTTCTTGCACTTCTTAAGCTATGGCATGTAGCACTGGGTGGGGACAAAGCTGTGAATGAAAATGGCTGGCTGAGATGCAGTGCTGAGATGCAGGTGCTGAGTATGGCACTTACCTTCTGCCCTGGGAAGATCCACGTGAACTCCACCTCCACGTCGGGCTCCCCTAGGACAGTGCAGAGCACACTGACGTCATCCCCACTTTTCACTTTGTTTGAAGAGGCCAAGATGGTTGTTGAGGGAGGGCCACTGGGAACTGGAAGCAAGCAGGGGACAGGGAGAATGAGACCCTGAGCGTAGCCTCAAAAACAAACCTACACATGCATTCTTTTCTATGGAGACAGATGGACTTTTTGGCCTTTCTCACAACTTCCCGTCCAGCGCCAAGACGGTGTGAGCCCGCCACTTGGGGCTTCCTTTGAAGCCACCTTTACCTGTTGACCTTAGTGGTCTGGAAGGGGATTGGCACCATGACGCCCAGGACAGCCTCCAAACCTATGATTAGGTGAGGAGGCTCAGAGGTCCATCAGGGGTCATGTGAAGAGGATAAAGAGCTGAGGGGGAACAAGTCCTTAGGGAAGAAGCAGGTAGGAAGTACTGGGTGGTGGCGTCCACAGGGGTGGAAGGGAGCAGATAAGTGTGTGACTGTCTATCCGCAGAAAAGGAGGAGAAAATATAAATATACAGATGTGAAAGATGTTTGGGCACAACTGCTACCTGGGTTTACAGTGCCTTTGCCTCATCGTGTTTCAGAAACAAATTTCTTCATTTATGGGGAATTCACTCAATAAGCTGTCTATTTATTTAGAAATGGTGTCTCTGCACTTCCCAAAAGAAGACATTTATGCAGCAAACAGACACATGAACAAATGCTCATCATCACTGGCCATCAGAGAAATGCAATCAAAACCACAATGAGATACCATCTCACACCATTTAGAATGGCGATCATTAAACAGTCAGGAAACAACAGGTACTGGAGAGGATGTAGAGAAATAGGAACACTTTTACACTGTTGGTGGGACTGTAAACTAGTTCAACCATTGTGGAAGACAGTGTGGCGATTCCTCAAGGATCTAGAACTGAAATACTCTTTGACCCAGCCATCCCATTACTGGGTATACACCGAAAGGATTATAAATCATGCTACTATAAAGACACATGCACACATATGTTTATTGTGGCACTATTCACAATAGCAAAGACTTGGAACCAACCCAAATGTCCATCAATGACAGACAGGTTAAAGAAAATGTGGCACATATACACCATGGAATACTATGCAGCCATAAAAAAGGATGAGTTCATGTCCTTTGTAGGGACGTAGATGAAGCTGGAAACCATCATTCTCAGCAAACTATCGCAAGGACAGAAAACCAAACACCGCATGTTTTCACTCATAGGTGGGAATTGAACAATGAGAACACTTGGACACAGGGTGGGGAACATCACACACCAGGGCCTGTCGTGGGGTGGGGGGAGTGGGGAGGGATAGCATTAGGAGACATACCTAATGTAAATGACGAGTTAATAGGTGCAGCACACCAACATGGCACATGTATACATATGTAACAAACCTGCACGTTGTGCACATGTACCCTAGAACTTAAAGTATAATAATAATTAAAAAAAAGAAAGAAAGAAAGAAAGAAAGAAACGGGGTCTGTCACCCAGGCTGGAGTGCAGTGGCGTGATCTCGGCTCACTGCAAGCTCTGCCTCCCAGGTTCACACCATTCTCCTGCCTCAGCCTCCCAAGTAGCTGGGAGTACAGGAACCTGCCAACAGTGGTGCAACCTTAGCTCTCTGCAGCCTCGAACTCCTGCATCCTGGAGGAAAACTCAAGCCATCCTCCCATCTTAGCCTTCTGAGTAGGTAGGATTACAGGTATGAGCCACCGCACCTGGCTAATTTTTCAAGTTTTTTGGTCTATGTTGCCCAGGCTGATCTCCAACTCATAGCCTCAAGCAATCCTCATGCCCTGGCCTCCCATAGTGCTGGGATTACAGGTGTGTCAATGAGCAATTTTGATGGTAGCCTTGAGCAAGGTTGTGTGCTAGCAGGTGGGCCTAGACCAGGGAGGGAGATGGACCTGATCTCTGAGCCCCTGGAACCTGTATTCTAGCAGACGGGCCAGACACTGAGTGAGTCATTATATGTTTAGTTTAAAATGCTGTGTTAAAAGCTATGAAGCAGAAGCCCAGTGTACTCCAAAAGGCCAGAATAGAACAGTCTGAGAGCCAGGAAGGGCTTCCTTGAGGAAGTACTGTTTGAACTACAATCTCAAGACTGAGCTTCAAAGACATGAACAGGAGAAGCAGGGAGGCACCAGCAGGCTGGGAATGCTCATGGGCGTGGCCCTGGGTGAGAGGTGGTGGCAGAGTGAGGAGGGCTGGGGAGCGAAGGGGAGGGAGGATTGAGACCTGGATGGGGAGGAGGACAGAGGTGAGTCCATGCCAGGCCATTCAGGCCACACAGAGGATTTGGACTTTGGTTCTGGGAGAAGTGGGAACCTACTGAATAGTTTAATTAAAATCAGGGGTCAGGCGCAGTGGCTCACTCCTGTAATCCCACCACTTTGGGAGGCCAAGGTGGGCAGATCACCTGAGGTCAGGAGTTTGAGACCAGCCTGGCCAACATGGTGAAACCCCATCTCAATTAAAAATACAAAATTAGCTGGGCGTGCTGGCGCATGCCTATAATCCCAGATACTGAGGGTGAGACAGGAGAATCGCCTGAGCCCAGGTGGTAGAGGTTGCAGTGAGCTAAGATCATACCACTGCACTCCAGTCTGGGCAACAGAGCTAGATTTTGTCTTAAAAAAAAAAAAAGCAACTGCAGTGTGGAAAACAGAGTGGAGAAAGAAAAGGTGGACGTAGGGGAGATAGATGAGAAGGTATTCACGTAAGACCAGGGCAGAGACAATGCTAGCTTGATCCCTTTTTTGCAGTGAGGATGGAGAGAAACAGTAAGATTTGAAAGTGATTTAATGAAAGAAGTACAAAGTATTGGGAGGAGAAGGGAGATGAGCTTGACTTCCAGCCACAGGCCTGTCCCCTGGATGAAGGTAGTCCCGTCATGAAAGCAGAGGAGGAGGAAGAACCAGTCCAGGGAGGATGGCGCTGAGTCCAGGGATGGCACACAGAGGATGGAGGGTCCCGAAGCATCTCAGTGCACGCTCGAGATGGACCGCGGACACGTGGATCTGGTGCTTCCAGATCTGGCCACTTCCACCCACTTGGGAGTTCCCAGTGTACACATGTGAAGCAGGCCCAGGGAGAGAACAAGGAGTAGGAAAGAAGGGTGACTGGAGGAGCACCAGCATTTCAGAGTTGATAGATTGCTACGAGCTGACCAAGAAGAGTGAGAAAGCTGTAGGGGAGGTGGCGGAAGCTGGAAAAAATGGAGCCAGGCAGAGGCCGTTCCATGCAGGGGAGGCGGAATCCAGTGGGACGGGGACAGATTTTAACGGCATGGGGGTCCCAGAGTACCTTGGCAACAGCCATTTCGGTAGAAGTCAAGGGAGAAGGCCAGATGGGAGTGGGCAGAGGAGTGTGTGGGAGGAAAGGAAGTGGAAATGGGACATGGAGAGCTCTTTCATTCAGGGACTTGGCTCTAGTGGGCTCAGCACAGCACGCGGGGAGGTGAAGCAGGGCCGTCAGAGGGATTTGGTAACAGGGCGTGAGGGGCATGGCCTGCTGAATAAGCACCATGGCTGAGAACACGAGGCATGACAGAGCCCAGATTTTAACTTCAGAGAGCAGCTCACTCTTGGGGCTACTGATCCCCCGACAGGGCTGCCTGAGAAGCTCCACTGCAGGGGACGGACCCTGCCCACACACACCACTTGCCCCTGGTCAAGGTGAGAGTTCTTGGAGAGACTAAAGTCACCTGTGAGGGACTACAGTGCCTAAAGAGAAACGATTTCCCTTCCTCCCTTGCAAAGCTGGCAAGGGGCTGCTTCACTCCAGAAAGGTGAGGGAGGGGCCTCAGAGAACTGCTTGTCAAGGAAGGCGGGGGTGCCGTGGCCTTCTGCAACAGAACTGCTCCTAGCCTGCCCCTATGCCATCAGCCCGGGGCAAAAGAGCCCAGGACAAGATGGCAGGGTGGGGGACTTCCAGAAGGAAAGAGGGCCCAGACTGTGTCTCCACAGTATGTCCTGGTGGCCACCTGCTCTGGAGTCAGCTGATCAGATGAACACAGAGACGTCAGGACTCCAGGCTCTCTCAGTCATGCTGCACCTAGCAGCAAAGAAGTTCATACAAGCAGAGGCAGCCTCCAGCTGAGGGTCCAGGAGGAGGCGAGGCTGCATGGGACAGGGCCTAGGACACCAAAGGGGCTTGTGACAGGCGAGTCCCTATCACCTGTGACAAAGCACTGGAGTCACTATCTGGTCCCATCAGGCTCACAGACAGCAAGCCAGGTCAGCATTTATTACCAGGGGCAGCCAGCTCTTGGGCTCTGACCTCTGTCTCTTACTTCCCCTAACCTGGTGTCCCAGCAGGGAGGGGAGGGGAGCGGAGGGGACTGTGGCCTCTGGCTCAGAGCTGCTGGACTCAGCATGGAGCCTGCATGTGGAAGGAAGAGCAGAAAGCAGGCTTGGATCAGTTGTCAGGACTGAAGATTTTAAACAAACGGCCTTAGAAGCCAGAATGAGGCTGTCTTACTCACCCAGCGAGCCTCCTGGACGTCAAAGGGAAACTTGACACGACTAACACATCTCCCTACCCTCAGGAAAAGGGGGATTCAACACAGTGGAATGGCTGGCAGTTACCAGGGAAAAACGTATTTCATGTATAAACGCCCTGAAATGAAACTCCTCACTAAAATGGCCACATTAAAAGTAGTTCCAATTTTAACTGGGAGACTGATCATGTTTCAGATATGTCAAGAGAAAGGGAGTAAGGCCAGTTGGAAGAGAATGAGGTGGGAATTTGAGGACTCCAAGTGTTCTGTGCACATTGGGGAAAGCAGAAGAAAGACGGAACAAAACGCAGAGGACGCCAGGCAGGGTGGACAAGAGATGGGGAATTCGTGGCTATGCCCTCTACCCACCCATGGGAGTGTCCCAACAGCTCTTAACTCTGGGTACAGGTACGAGGAGAAGGTTAGCTGTGTTCATCCAGGATGGTTCTTTCCTGGACAGGAGAGGGGAGTACAGAGATGAGGGCGTGCAGGGCGTGGCTAGCGAGTAGAGATGTGCTGGGAGCCAGGATCTAAGCCTCGTGGGTGGGGAAGGCAGAAAGCCCTGGGGAACAGGGGGTGCAGGTGAGGATTGCGGTTGAGGGAGTCATTAAACACAGAATCCTGGGAAAGTACAAGCCTGTGTCACTGGAGCTGGGGTCAGCCCCGGTGATCGCTGTCACAGCGGTTGTGGTTGACATGTTCACATGGTGATGAGGGTGGGAATATCCGAGGTGGAGATGACGGGTCCATGAACCTCACCAGTGGGTTCCAAGTCGATATCAAAGTCACCCTAAAAATGGAGCGACAAGCAGGACCATGAACCAAGTGCCAAAATGTTCGATGCACTCAGGGGAGTGACAGGAAAGGAAACGAGAATGCTGGTGGAGCCCCCAAAGAGCAGAGGTTCCCAACAGAAGGGCAGAGAATGAGGGTTGGGAGGTGGGAATGGGTACAAGGATGCCAGCCTCGAGGTGGGAGCGAACGGTGTCCTTAGGAGACAGCAGATTCGGGTTAAGACCAAGAGGCTGGGAGGATGCTCTAAAGGAGTTTGAGGACTTAGAAGACCTGCTCATCAAACAGAGAGGCAGCACCAGAGTGAACGATGGAAGGATTTCACTGGAAGGGGGAAGAGGGGTTTTCGGTCAGAGTCATAGCAAGGAAGGAGAACATCCTAGAAGTGGTGGGGCAGAAGGGAAGCCTCTAAAAACAGCGTAAGTGGGCCGAGCATAGTGGCTCACACCTGGAATCTCGGCACTCTGGGAAGCTGAGATTGAAGGACTGTTTAAGCTCAGGAGTTTGAGACCAGCCCAGGCAAGGTAGGGAGACCTCTTCTGTATGAGACAAAAAAAAATCAGCAGGGCATGGTGGTGCATGCCTGTGGTTCCAGCTACTCAGGAGGCTAAGAAGGGAGGACCACTTGAGCCCAGGGCTTTAATGCTGCAGTAAGAAAATGGTTGTGCCACTGCATTCCAACCTGGTCAGCAAAAAGGGACACTGTTTGAGGAAAAAAGGAAAAAAAAAAAAACCTAAACCCAACAATAATGTAACAAAAGGCACCCATGGTGCTTCCTTATTCCATCTGCAGGCAGGGAACAGCAGTACCTGAAACTGACCAGCGGAGTGACTAGAATCTAGACAGGGGTGGCCGGGCTTACCTGCCACGTAGAGCAGCTGGTACTTGATGGAGATCTGAGATCTGCCCCCGGCCTCCGCCCTGCAGTAAACCACGCCCTGGTGCTCGGAATGAGGTTGCAGATACACAAAGCCCCGCTTCATGTCATAAACAATGTCCGTTCCATTGGCTGGGATCTCCTTGGCTGGGAATTCCCTGTGGAGCGTGACTTTGGCCGACAGCACGGTCACCCGACAAGGAACCACAGCCTGTCTGTCCGGGTTCAAGTAGACAACATCGAAGTAGCTGGGAGAAGGCACAAAGAGTTCTCCTTTCTCTGCAAAGGGAAGACACAGGCTTATTCACTCCAGAGAAGCAAAGTAAAAGCACCCTTAGGGATTCTGGCAACATCCTCCAAATACTGAATCCTTAGGAGTAGCAAAAGCTGGGGTTTCTTTTTTTATTTTAATGCTTTTCATTTTTTGGAAGAATGATTTTCCTTCCGGTCTCCTTAAAGAAAACAGAAAAGGTATCAGTTCAAGCCCAAATGAGGCCCACGGATCACAGCCATGAAGCAGCAAGGAACAAGATTTAAGTTAAGATTTAATAAATTAACCTTTAACAAGTTAAGGTTTAACAGGCCCAGCCTTACTTCTTATACTTTAATACATACTTTGAAGTAAGTGACGACACTACTTGCTTTAAAAATATATTTGCAATCTGGCCAGGCGTGGTGGCTCATGCCTGTAATCCTAGCACTTTGGGAGGCTGAGGCGGGTGGATCGCCTGAGCTCAGGAGTTCGAGACCAGCCTGGGCAACATGGTGAAACCCCATCTCTACTAGAAATACAAAAAAAAAAAAAAAAATTAGCTGAGTGTGGTGGCATGTGCCTGTAGTCCCAGCTACATGGGAGGCTGAGGCATGAGAATTGCTTGAACCCAGGAGGTGGCAGAGGTTGCAGTTAGCCGAGATCATGCTACTGTACTCTAGCCTGGGCAACAAAGTAAGATTGTGTCTCAAAAAAAAAAAAAAAAAAAAAAAAAAAAAAAAAAAAAAAAAAAAAAAATTGCAATCAGTAGCTTCCATCAAGAAAAAAATGTGCTAAAGTTCATTTTAATAATGATAGATTACATATGTCCCCTGCAAATGTATTTATATCCACTCATGTAGATGACACACATATTTCTTAAAGAAGACTAAGCCCATTGGATTTTAGATTTCCAGAAAAAATCAAGTTAATAAGCTGTAAACTACATCCAAATTACAGCAAATTCAGTATTTAGGAAAGCACTTATTAATGTGATTTTATGATTGTAAGTTTTAAACCCTTAGCAATTGTAAAACCTTGAAGCCATCTGCTGCTTGTGTGTGGAGAAATCAACCCCACGGCCATGGTCAGTAACTGCCAGCCAGGAAGCATTTCCCAGCACATCAGAGCTCCCCACACAGCCCAGAGGACCTGGTGCCTGCCAAAGTTAGTGGAGGGGAATGTTGTCGGTTTGAAGGAGGAACCCATCAGTCTCAGGTCTGCTCTCGGCTTGGCCAGCACCTGGCTAGGAATCTTCAACCAGTCTCTTACATCCCCTCATTTCCTCTGAAATTACTCTGCCTGGTTCTTTAAGCTCAGATGATGGCATGTTTATCTTACCGAAATGGGAGAAATGTGGACTGACTCTGTCCTTAGGACAGGCAAGAAACTCTGGACTGGGCTTTTTGGGGGGTAATTTTTGTTGGTGCTGGTGGCTTTTCTTTTTTGGAATGGTACATTAAATCCTTTGTTTTTCTGGATCATTCTGTGAGGGAATATTATAGTAATTGCAAAGGGAAATATTTGGAGCTAGTGATACCCTAATACGTATTACATCCTTTCTTGTGTTTTCCCCACAATGTTCCTGAAATAAATAATTTTTCTTGCCTTTCTCCCCAACTTGCCTTCTTTGTGTCAGAGTTAGATGGTGTTTTAGGTTGGGGGCAGAATTCCTGGACACATCACCGAACGGTTCATGAGCCAAGAGTTCTTGAGCTATAAGTACCAAGTTCACTAACATGGAGATCCTTCCTCTTGGCTCTTAAGACGAGGGAAGAGCATATCATGGCTCAGAGAGTCTCCGTGTTTTACATGGGTTTCCATCAGGCTGGGAGATCCGTGCTACTTTATGAGAAATTGGCTTTCAGGCTTAGGTAACGAGCACCTCTGTCAAAGTTGTGCCCAATGTTCATGTGTTCACACAGTCCATCTAGATGGCCTTGGAGGCATTACTTAATTTCCTCATGCTTCAGTGTCTACATTGTCAAGAGAAGAATCTGGAGTGGATAATATTAAAGATGTTTTCTTAGCAGTAACACTTTAGGATTGCATGATTGCAAGATTTAGAGGCAACTTTTGTTTTAAGAGTGTGTAGAATAATCTGAATCAATAAGCAAAGTCGTTAGTTGAATAAGTGAACCATGTAAATTTAAGAACATAAAAATATCATCCTTTTTTTTTTTTTTTTTTTTTTTTGAGACAGGGTCTCACTCTGTTGCCCAGGCTGGAGTGCAGTGACACAATCATGACTTACTGCAGTTTCAACATCCAGGGCTCAAGTGATCCTCCCACCTCAGCCTCTTGAGTAGCTGGGACTACAGGCATGTGCCACCATGCCTAATTTTTTATTGTTTAGTTTTTGTAGAGTCAGGGTCTCACTATGTTGCCCAGGCTGGTCTCAAACTGCTGAACTCAAGCAATCCTCCTGCCTTGGCCTCCCAAAGTGCTGAGATTACAGGGGTGAGCCAATGTGCCCAGCCTTACTTCTTATACTATAATACATACTTTGAAATAAGTGACCACACCAGTTGCTTTAAAAAATATATTTGCAGTTTGTAGCTTCCATCAACAACCAAAAATGTTGAAGTTAATTTTAATAATTATAGATTACATGTCCCCTGCAAATGTATTTGTTCACTAATCTAGATGACAAATTTATTACTTAAAGAAAACGAAGCACATGGGACTTTACATTTAAAAAAAAAAATTGGCCAGGCGTGGTGGCTCACACTTGTAATCTCAGCACTTTGGGAGGCCAAGGTGGGCGGATCATGAGGTCAGGAGATTGAGACCCTCCTGGACAACATGGTGAAACTCCGTCTCTACTAAAAATACAAAAATTAGCTGGGTGTGGTGGCACGTGCCTGTAATCCCAGTTACTTGGGAGGCTGAGGCAGGAGTATCGCTTGAACCGGGAGAGTCGGAGGTTGCAGCGAGCTGAGACAGAGTCTCACAAAAAAATAAAAATAAAAAAAGTGAAGTTAACAAACTATACACTAAATCCAAATTATAGCAAATTCAGTATTTAGAAGAGTCTTTTTTTTGAGGCAGTCTCCCTCCATCACCCAGGCTGGAGTGTAGTGGTGCAATCTCGGCTCACTGTAACTTTGGCTCACTGCCTCCTGGGTATAAGCGATTCTTGTGCCTCAGCCTCCTGAGTAGCTGAAACTGCAGGCGTGTGCCACCATATCCAGCTAATTTTTGTATTTTCAGTCGAGATAGGGTTTCACCATGTGGATCAGGCTGGTCTCAAACTCCTGACCTCAAGTGATCCACCTCCCTCAGCTTCCCAAAGTGCTGGGGGATTACAAACATGAGCCACTGTGCCCAGCCAGGAAAGTACTTATTAATGTAGTTTTCCTACATATAAAAATGAGAGCCCCAGCCTTTCACGATGAGAAAGCCCTGCCGCTGGTAATGTTCTCATCCTTGACCGGGGTGGGAGTTACATGTGCCTGTTTGGTTGACGACAATTTATTGAGCTGTATACTGAGAATTTGAATGTTTTTCTTTACATATGTTATACTCCAATAAAAAGTGAGAGAGAAGGGAGAAAAACCTTCCAAGAGCCTCCTGGATAAAGACGAAAGAGGAAATATATATGGCAATTGTTTATCACAGATGGCACACTAACAACAGTCAGTCCCCCAAAAGAAGCTTCAATCAAACTCTAGGAAACATACAAACATAATGAATGACAGACGCTTCTCCACATGGGTAGCCAGGAAACATATGTTCTGAAAGAATCCTGAGCCAGCAGTGGGAACCTCAGCTTCTGTAACTGCCCATCTTGATTTTTCAAACCCACTCATGCTTGAAAAGACAAACTGATAAACCCTACAGTGAAAATCCAACTGGACTCCTACCTTAGTGTTGAGAAATAAGAAAAAAAAAAAAGAGAGAGAAATAAGAACAAAAAACTCATTAGGTCACCTCCCTTTTTGATCAAAGTTTCTTGATAGTTGGAATAAATATATTTTAGCCTTTCTTTGGTTCCCAAAAGGAGTTCAGTAAATTAAAAAGAAAAAAAAAGGATCTGCCTCCAAAACTCAAAGTGAGCCCATAATTTTTTTCATAATTTTTTTTTTTGAGACAAAGTCTTGCTCTGTCGTCCATGTTGGAAGTGCAGTGGCACAATCTTGGCTCACCGCAACCACCGCCTCCCAGATTCAGGTGATTCTCCTGCCTCAGCCTCCTGAGTAACTGGGACTACAGGTGTGCACTACCACGCCCAGCTAGTTTTTGTATTTTTGTAGAGATGGCATCTCTCCATGTTGGCCAGGATGGTCTCGAACTCCTGACCTCAAGTGATCCACCCACCTCGGCCTCCCAAAGTGCTAGGATTACAGGTGTGAGCCACCATGGTTGGCCAAGACCCCATAACATTAATAGAACATTATGCCCAAGCTAAGCCTTCAGTTCAAAACCTCGGCTGATACTTTGGGAAGACACAACAGTACTAATTATGGCAAAGAATCTTCCTTCTGCAACTTGAAATGTGGAATCAGTAGTTGTCTGGAATAACAGACTTTTATTCATCTTAATTAGCTGCCTTTTCCACTGTTGCTTCACAGCATGATATAACACAAAGGGCACACAGACAGTCTTGTGTAGCGAGTTCCAAAATGAAGATCCAAAGAGAGTGCCTATGAACAATTATTAGCAATTCTCCTGACAACACCAGTTATGCTAGCTAGAATCTGGCTATCAGTCCATCTCTCACCTTGTCCTAGAAAAGGTTCAAGGCAGTAAAAACACTGGATCCTGGGTCAGAAAAAAAGGTTTCACTCCTTATTGTGCCACTACAAGTCCTGGAACATTGAGGCTCAGCATGAGCATTAGTACTTCTGGTATTTTGGAGATAATAAAATAGCTTTTGCTTATTTCCCAGGGATGTTGTGGAAATGAAATTGATGGAGGCAGGAGGCAGAGAAATCTCCTAAGCAGATGTGGGAGGGTCCTTAGAGAACCTCTGACCTACCAAGGTCTTTGTGCTCAGGAGTGTTGCCTAAACATGCCCCTATTGAAAAATTCCATCCCTTAACACACGTGCAGTAAGGGAAATAAATCAACATGGAGTGACTCAGATTAAGGGCCTGCATGTACACTGAAAGGATGGGGTGGAGCCGCCAGGAATTCACGCCTTTTACAAACAGGGAACCCAGTCCTACCAGGGGAACATAGAAGCCCTTGTATTCAACCGTGTAGAGGGCAACCTGCAACCTGCTTTCAGGACCCCTCTTTTTGCTGAGAGCTTTCGCATACTAAATTCTACTCCACTCACTCTTTTAAGTGTCTATGTGCCTAAGTTTTCCTGGCATGAGACAAAAACTCAGATCTAGCTGAACTAAGGAGTAAAAAGTCTCCTTCAAAATGATATACATGTGCTTCCAGAACTGCAGCATACCCTACTAATACATCTTCTTGCCAGAGGGGAGTTATTTGGGCAGGAAAGGACAAATACATAAAATTGTACTAAAACATTCTTTGCTGGTCAGGTCATAACATCATTTGGGTCATAGGTCTAAGTCTACGTCTAGGCCTATTTAGGTCTAGGTCTGAAAGGTAGATGGATTCAGGACATAGAGAAGTCTCATGAAAGTCCCTGGCCAGGCACTAAGAAAGGATTCTGGTTTCACCTGAAATGTCTTGGACAACAATAGGACTGGGGTGGATTTGTAAGATTCCTGAAAGCTGTTACTGACCTCTGAACCTTGTTGGAGAACTTCATCCCCTAAACTTCAGAACTTAGAGAACGTTACAGAAGAAAGAGGCTGAGCAGTTATTCTGCACACCTGTTTCTCAAAATGCAAGCTCCACCTTCCAGAAACATACTTTGCACTGCAGAGTTCTCCACTCTGACTTGAACATTTTCAGGCAGTCCACTGAGGCTTAGGGACAGGGACTGGAGACACAAGAGCCACAATCTTTGGGAATCTTGCCTCTGAAATCCCAGCTCATAGTACTCCCAAGAACAAATGGGGCTGAGCACTGTGGTTCATGCCTGTAACTACAGCACTTTGGGAGACCAAAGCAGGAGGATAGCTTGAGCTCAGGAGTTTGAGACCAGCCTGGGCAACACAGTGAGACCTCATTTCTACGGAAAAATCAAAAAATAAAATAATAAAAATGACAAATGGGAGGAGGTCTTTAGCAAAGCATCTTATGGAGTTTCCAGAGAGGAGATGGTCATAGGTTCTGAGAACACAGTGATGAAAGTCAACAGCAGCACTGTCCAATAGAACTTTCTGTGATAAAGGGAATGTTCTCTCTCTGTGCTGTCTAGTATAATAGCCATTAGCTACGTGCCACAGTTGAGCACTTGAAACCTAGCAAGTGCACTGAGAAACTGTTTAGAATTTTATTTCATTTTGATTAATTTTCATTTAAATTTAAGTAGCCACACGTGTCTAGTGGTCACTGTATTGGCGAGTGCAGGGACAGACCCTGGAACCAAACGGTTTGTGTTGAAATCTTGTTACCACCACTTACTTGCTGTGTGACCTTAAGGACTTATTTAACCTCAACTTTCCCATCTGAAAAAAAAAAAAAAGAAAAAGAAATAATATTAGTATATGCCCTGAAGGGTTATGGTAAGACTTACGTGAAATAACTGATGTAAAGCATTTAGCCCAGAGCCTGGAAAACAAGAAGTGCTCTGATGTCATTATTTGCTATTCAGCATGCAGTAGGGAAACCTTCAGCTCTCAGCCAAGTCCGGAAGTTTGAAGAGTTCCATGAATGCACCAAGTATTTTACCTGTAAAAAAGATGTAGGTGGAGCCTGTTTTGGTCTCATCCTTCCTGCAGATGTAGCCGCTGCAGAGCTGCCCCCAGCAGCTGAATTCACCCGTGTCCGCCGAGGTGGAGTTGACCAGAGTCAACTGGCCGTAGCGCTCATTCTGCTTGACACTAGGAATAAAAGAGACATGAACTCAAAGGAGGTCAGACCTGGGCTGAGGCCCTCCAGCTGTCACACTTGGCTCCACGGTTCTCTGGGCAGACTTGCCCCAGTCTTTCTCCAATGTCACAAAGAATGTGTCTGGCTTGTCAAACACCCCTAGAATTTAAAGTATAATAATAAAAAATGATAATGAAAAAAAACTGAAAAAAAAAAAGAAATCAGGAAAAAAATGACATTTTTCCATTTTACAGTTCGTTCTGTAACAATTTGAGCAATATGATGGATTGTTCGGCTTTTCAGTATGATACAACAAGGTAAATATTTTTTGCAACAATTCAAAAAATTTTATTCATAACCATATTTCTGGATTTTACTACTTTTTTTCAGATTTTATGCAGTGATAAAATACACAGAAATGTTAATCGTGAAAATGCAATATTATACACTTGTCAAAACTCAAAGAATGAGCAATACAAGATGTGAACCCTAACTTAAACTATGGACTAGCTAATGATGATGTATCAATATTGGTACATCAGTTGTCAAAAATGTACCGCATTAATGTAAGAAATTAATAATGGGAAAACTGTATGCAGGAGGGGAGGAGGTAAATGGGCACCCTGTATCTTTTTCTCCATTTCTCTGAAACTTAAAACCACCCTAAAAAACAAAATCTATCACTAAAAACTGCAATATTCTGTTTTAAGAAAATAAAATATGAACATTATTTTCACCATACATTGCTACATATTTTAATAAACCGATGTGTCACCACTTAAAAAAAAAAAAAAGAGAAAGAAAAAAACAACGTGTTTGGCAGTGGTTCACAGCTATAATCCCAGTGTTTTGAGAGGCCAAGATGGGAGGATAACTTGAGGCCAGGAGTTTGAAACCAACCTGGGCAACATAGCAAGACCCCATTTTTACAAAAATTAAACAATGAGCCTGGCATGATGGCTGACTCCTGTAGTCCTAGCTACTTGGTATGCTAAGGCAGGAGGATGGCTTGAGTACAAGAATTTGAGATTCCAGCGAGTCATGATCATACCACTGCACTCCAGCCTGGGTGACAGAGCAAGACCCTGTCTCTAAAAAATAAAGAGTATGTTTCTGATAAATGGGTGTGTGGGGGAAGCAGAGAGAAAAGCCTCTCCTCAAAGGAAATAATAAATGTCGAAGAGAATTCCTCTTCTTGGAGAATGTAATTGTCCTCAGACCTGCGGTTTCCTTAAGTAAAATCCTGGGTGCAGTAGCTACGCAGCCTCAGAAGCTCAGCCAGAAAGCCTTGGGCTGGTGTTTTGCTTTCAGTCTGTGTCTCATAAATTCGTTTCTAAGCAGTCAACATGAATGAAAGCACACAGCATTATCCAATACCCAAAATCCCTTTCATCGATAAAGGTAAGTCTCCGCATTAACTCTTGGAATCTTAGACACACTATATTACCATGTTAAAACCAAAAACTTTCTTTTAGGAAAAATATGCATTGGCTGATAAGATCCTGAGCCCCAAGTATGCATGCAGCCCACTTCTAATAAAGTATTTAAAGCCTTTGGGCATTTGGACTTTTCCTCTGACCTTACTCTATTATTTCTTCTCTTATTTTTCTTCCTTATCTTGTTGCATCGCAAATATATTTGCAACCCCCTTCAGTTTCTTTCTGAAATGAAGAGGGGCATATATATTTATTATTAAACACAAGCATTAGTCAGTTTCAATGGTAATTAATTCTATTATATTGTGGCAGAAATCCAGATGTATCAGATTTATCATCCCCACACTGGAGGTTCCCCTGAGGCCGAGAGACTCAGCATATGGGGGCGCCAAAATAAGCAGTTTTAATCTGGGGACTCATCTCAAATATCCAAATGCTTCACTCTTCTGAGATCCACATACTTTTATGATGTAGTTGAGATTCTCCAGTTTATCTTGCAGCAGTATCGATACGGTGACCAGTTTACATTTAGCATAGGGCAAAATGTCAGGTGAGTTGGTCCTGAACGCAGCCCTGTTCTGGTTCACTGCTGAATAGCTTGTTTTGTCCACCAGTTCTGCTAAGAGGTGCTTCTGTACTCCCACGCCATCAACTGCCTCCTTTATCCTGAACGGAAATCTCTCCTCCTTCAGGAAGCTTCTAATTAGCATCAACTCTCAGGAATCTCCCCACTTTTGCCTGACATAATTGACTTCCCTCTTCTCTACCCCTTGGATACCCCTGACTTCCTGTCACTACACTAGATGGCACAAGCTTTGACGCAGGGACTGAACTGTATTTGCTTTATATTCTCTAAGCAACAAATCTGTGCAGAGTACACAGCAAGGACTCCCTAAACACAAGTGAATTGAGTTAAATCAGTGATGAAAAAGGAAAGAACCTGGAGAGGCAGGCATCCAGCTCCCTATTTTGCAGAGGGGGAAACTGAGTCTGAGACAGCAGAAATGGCTTCCCTGAAACCCACAGCTTGTGAACCACTTGTGAACAAGTCTTCCTTAAGTCAATTAGGTATGTTCTGAATGCCACTCATTAGATAAGAAAATATATACAAAGCCCTTCATGCAATGCCTGGTTCATTGTACTATCCCAATTATATCTTAACTACAGATGAGTAGTACTAATCATGAATATTACTATAGCCATGACAAATAGTACACATGCAGCATTGGGGACAGTTAGCACAGCCAAAAAAAAAAAAAAAGGGTCAGGTGCGGTGGTTCATGCCTATAATCCCAACACTTTGGGAGGCTGAGGTAGGAGGATCGTTTGAGCTCAGGAGTTCACAACCAGCCTGGGCAACATAGTAAAACCCCATATCTACAAAAAATTAAACATTAGCCAGACATGGCAGTGTGCATGTAGTCCTAGCTACTCAGGAGGCTGATGTGGGAGGATCTCTTGAGTCCAAGAGGTTGAGGCTGCAGTGAGCCAGGATCCCACCACTGTACTCCAGCCTAAACAACAGAGCAAAACCCTGTCTTAAAAAAATAATAAGAAAATAAATAAATAAGTTTAAAAAAATCAATGCTAGTTTTAGTTTTAAGGATGAAGCTGGATTTCAGCACATTAAAAAAGTGGAAAAGGGAAGGGAAAATGGAGGCGGTTGTCTCCCCTCGTAGACAATATCTGGCCATGTTCCTGTAGAGCTCAGAATCAGGGTACAAAATCAGCAGGCAATCAATAAATTCAGTACGCATCTTCTCTGGGCCCAGCATTTGCTTGCACTGTAGTGCTAGAAAGTATTAGATGCCATTCGTACTGGGAAAGTAATTAGGCACGTAAAAAATTAACACTTAGGAATAACCCTACCATCAGCATGCAAACAAGCATGCTGTATCTTTAGTAGGTTTGGGGGTGGAAGGAAGGAAATGCACTGGAAAACAGTTCTGCATTTTTCCACCCCCTCTTCTAAGCAAACGATATAAAACAGGAAACAAATTATTTAGTAGGATTACAGTTCAAATGCCTGGATTTAGAATGTCCATTTCTACCAATGGTATCTCATCGTCCAGGCAGCAGGCTATGCAAGGGCTTGGAAGTGACCGAAGGCCTCTGGAGGCTGAGTCCATGTCATGAAAGGGAGACAAGGATTCCTTGAGCCCTTCAGAGCCACTGTATAGAGACACTTCATCAAAGACCCTTCCTTTCTGTGTAATCATTGAACACCGCCCCCAGGGATGGAGGAAGTGGAGAACGGGGAGTTTAAGTGGAGCAAAAAGAAGGTGTCATGACCAAGTGCCAGGAAAAAAGTGTTCTAAGAGAAGCAGAATTCAGATTAACAGGAAGCAGCTCTGAACATGCCAACACATCAGCTTGACTCTGGCCTTTTCTTTCCAAACTAGGAGTTCTAGCCCTGACCCACAGAGATCTCAGTGATGGCCAAGTCCATGTTTCAAAGTGAATGTGTTCAAATGTTAAGATCCTGTGTATGCATACGTGTGTGTATGTCTTCTAACACGCTCTCCCGGCCTTCACACACACAGAGTCTTGCTCTCATCAGTGGAGGCCTGAAGCTTCCTGCATTTAGCCCAGGCTGCTCTCTCCTGGGGGTGGTCTAAGTCGTGAGATGGTGTAGAGGACGGAGCTGACAGCCCTCAGATACAGTGACCAGTGCATCTTACCTGGGGCAGTGGCCAGGTAATAGAAGTGGGGTTCATTACCTGTCCGCCCCCGCCAAGACTCTGCAAGCCAAGGGCAGAGGGTGAGCCCTGCGTTACAAGATAATGATTCATTGGTCTTATACCCATACATACTTAATGAGTACAAAATAAATGGCAGGTGCTGGAGAGGACAGGAGGGATGCAATGATGTCTAGAGAGGTCCCTGCTCTCGAGTTCTCCGATACAACATGTCATGAGAACTCCGAGGAGAGTAACCAGCAAGACCCTCTAGGCCTAAAGGGTCTTGGTAGAAAGGACGGATGTCAACATGCACAAATCAAGGACACACATTCCGAGGGAAGGAGATCTCCAGAGAGAAGAAAAAAGGCAGGTTTGTGCAGAACAAAGAGATGTTTTTCTGGACCACAAGTTGGCTGAAGACCATGGTCAAAGGCATACAATCATGGACTTGGGCCGGGCGCGGTGGCTCATGCCTGTAATCCCATCACTTCGGGAGGCCAAGGTGACTGGATCATGAGGTCAAGAGATCGAGACCATCCTGGCCAACATGGTGCAACCCCATCTCTACTGAAAATACAATAATTAGCTGGGCGCGGTGGTGCATGCCTATAGTCGCAGCTACTGGGGAGGCTGAGGCAGGACAATCACTTGAACCTGGGAGGTGGAGGTTGCCGTGAGCCGAGATTGTGCCTCTGCACTCCGGCCTGGTGACAGAGCAAGGCTCCGTCTCAAAAATAAATAAATAATAAATAATCACAATAATAAAACAAAATCATGGACTTTGGAACCCTACTGGCCAGATTCAAATCCCGGCTCCACCGTGACCTTCAGAGTCCTTAGCTACAGCTCGTCTTCCACAATCTGGCTTCACCTACTCTTCAGACTTGCAGTAAC